GGTAAATCAATTTAGTAAATGGGTCACATCCACTTTAAAACTCTTTCCCATCAGGGTCTCCCTCCCATCAGGGTTCATTGTCAAGGCTATCGCCCGTGCTTCCACTTACTGCAATGGCGGACATAAACATTAAATGCTAACAGGCTAAACTTACACATTACACTAGTTAACAAATATTACAGAACCTCTCAGTGCCACAGAAATACCAAAGACACATCGTTCTAGCGCAGTGTATTGATTAATATGACCAGCTTGCCTGTTTAATGCAATAATATCACTTTATGTTGACGATGTACACAGCGCTTTCTGCCTCCATCGTGAACACCGAGACTCGTTTTCTGACGTGCTCACGCAATATTTCCCTGTGACGCTCTCTGCTCAGACACTGTTCCCATAGCGACACTGAAACCTACTGGCGGTTTGCTGGTACTACTGTGTAACAACGGCACCGGCAATGAAGAACTTTATACACTAAATTCTGACTAATATGAACACTTTTCTTCCCATAAACGCATATAACCACATTGAAAACAAATATAAAACATGTGGAAAACTCTTTAAACTTATATTCTATCCAAGAAATGATTCTATTCAATAATCTACATATGACTTATTGTGCCACAATTAGCATCAGCTATGATTTCCTAAAGTTACTCTTACTGACCAAACACGAAAAGAAGAAAGAAGAAAAACTTTAGGTTGTGTCTTCCCAGACAAAAATGGGCAGGCCTCTCTCTCAGTGCTGCTGTCTTTTGGTGAGACACAGTGTCCAATGTCTAAAAACTATCCAGTAGAAAATACACAATCATATCAAGTAGTGTCCTAGTGAATTTATACAATACAAAATCAGAAATCCTTTATTGTAACGAGAAGGACAAAGATTAAATACGATTTTACAAATTAAAATTACTGATATTTTACATACTGACGCATGTCCATCAAAGTGTTTTCTGCTGCAGCCACCATCTTTTTCTCTGGTTGTTATGCCAGACTCTTGATCTGAAGCAATCATTTCAATATCACAACACACTGATAATCTCTAACATAAATTATATTATATATATATTGTATAAATGATCAGATTGTGATGATGAAATACATCCAACGTCTGCCATCAATTCTCCACCATATTTATGAGAATTAGCATCACTGATGTGATTTTGAATTACGTCCTCATTTCACATATTTGTCAGTTGTGTCTAAAGGGAGAGGATGAGACAATGAGACACACAGAGTAGAGAGTAGCTGCTCCATGTAGATCATCACACAACGCGATGGTCCTTCAAGTTAGTTGTTGCAGAAAAGTTACACCGTTTATCCAGGAACATTATTATTATTATTATTATTATTATTATTATTATTATTATTAATATGAAGAGCAGCTGTGTGTGATGAGACAATTGCTTGAATGTGAACAGCCAGGCTACTGTTCACAGGAGAACACACACTTACCGTGCCTCTCAGGTATACACAGGTATATTCACACAGCTAAAAAGGACAATTCATTTCTCTTTAAACACACTATATGTGTCATCAGGGACGGACTGGGACTAAAAAACGGCCCTGGACTTTGACTAGGCCCGGCCCAAAGCAATCGGC